TTTAGTAGAAGTAAGCAGAAAGAAAATGTTTGCTGAAAGAAGAAATGAGCACAAAAAAGTGGAAATTATCTTAAAAAAGCTGAAATTAGGGAGGAAAAAACAAGCTAAAAAGTAGCTAAAAAAGGCAGAAAGAAGCTTAAATTACCAGAAGGAAGTGAAGAAAGCACATTTTTGCTGAATTGGGCTGAAAAAAGTTGAAATGAGTGAAAATAATGTGGAAATAGCTGAAAAAGCTAAAATTAGAATAAAACAGCTAAATATTAGCTGCAACAGAAATAAGCTGAAAGGAGCATAATGACCTGAAATTAGGAGAAACGTTCGAAGAAACACAAAATGTTGTAGTTAGCAAGAATCTGAAAGGAGCACAAAACAGCCAAATAAACAGCTGAAATTAGCTGAATGTAGCTGAAAAAAGTTTAAATTTGCACAGGGAAGCTGAAAGAAGCTGAAGCAGAACAAAATGTGAAATGAGCAGTAAAAGCTTGTCAAAACAGCTAAAGATTTGAAGGATGTAAAATGAGCTCAATGCATTTTCTATGAGGAAAAAAATGACAGAAAAGGCTAAATATTGATATATTCAAAAAGCTAAATTTGCACCAATACCAAAAGTCATAGCAGGACTGTCCTGAAAGAGCTGAAGATTTTGATAAATGATTTTGCTGAAATAGCTTGAAAACTGCAGGATGAGAATCACGCTGGAAAATGTACGGAAGAAAAATGGATCACAATAGTGTGAATGTTTCATAAACATTCACACTATTAAGTCAATTAAAAAGTGTATATCTTAATTTAAATAAAATTCAATGAATATTGATGCATGCTGGTCGTTAAAGACAAACTCCTCACACTGCATCCTCTTCAGATTAGAGTCATATTTGAACCGGATTCAAACCCACAGAGAAGCAGATGTTTCTCCTCGTGTCGGCTGTTAATCACAGCTGAAACTCTTATAAAATCTGCAGGCATCTGCTAAAAGTAGCACGCTCAATCAGCACATCTCCACAGCATCCAGGTGTCAACACAAACTTCTCCAAGTTAACAATTTTGAGATAACGTTCAAAGATGGGTGGATGGTGAGTTCAAGGACAGTCACCTTTATCTGCAAGTTCTGTGTGGTTGCAAAGCCCTGGAAGCGTGTCCAAGTGTGGGGAATGTCTTTAGCCTCTGAGCAATTCACAAACACCAAGTCTCTGATGAAAGGGGAGAAAAATAAACTGTTCAAAACAGAAAATCTGAGTTTGCAGGACAATCCCACACACTCACATTTCAATGTGACTGTGTTTTTATGGTTTTTTTTGTACATAATTAGTTTTGTATGGTCACATCATGGTCCACACAGACTCCTGCTGTCCAACAGCGACATCTAGAGGACAGCAGCAGACATAACCTACATGTCAGAAAGTTTTATTCAGCTCTAATTTGTTCTCAGCTCTAAATCCTAACTTTAAAATCCTTTAAACGCAACATTTTTCTATGAGAAAATATGTTGTGACAACAAATATGAAAAAAATAAGAGAAGATCTTTTGTCTGAAGCTGGGCTGGACAAACAGTTTGATCTTCAGACGCTAAAATCCAACATTTTGCTCACAGGTTTTCTTCAGGAATTGTCTTGTGACGTGAAGTTTTTCCAGTCTCCTTCATATTATTATATTTTTTTTATTTATTTTTATGGCTGAACAGATGCACAAAACATTCAGCTTATCATGCGTGCACAAGATTAAAAATATACCGTGTTGTGTTAAAAGAATATATCTCCTGCAGATTTTTTATTTGCTGTCACATCAAATGAAGCTTCACCAGAACAAAGATGGCTGCTCCAAAGAAGAAATTTGAGCTAAACTAGAGAAATTGCATTTCTTGTGAAAATGCAGCGTGAATGCTTGTTGCAGAAGAACTTGATGAAAAACAGCTGAAATGAGCTAAAAACATAAAATGTTGTCGTGAAATGGATGAACAAGCCTAAGTTAGCTGAATAAAGCAGAAACAACACATTTTTGCTTAATTAGGTTTAAATAAATTGAAATTAGCACAAAAATTAGTAAATCAGCTAACAAAGCTGAAATTAGCAACAATAGCTGAAAGAAACTGAAAATGAAAAAAAAAAAAATTTAAACTACTAGAAGAAAGCGGAAGGAGCTGAAATGAGCTCCAAGAATGTAGAAGCAGGTGACAAAGCTAAATGTAGCATAAAACAGCTAAATAGTAGCTAAAATAGCAGGAAAAGCTGAAACTAGCAGAAATAAGCTGAAAGGAGCAGACAGAAGTTAATTAGGCTGAACGTAGCAGCAATTGCTATGAAAAACTTGAATTTATCTTAAAACAGTTTAAACCAGATAAAAAAAAAACACTATAGGTAGCTGAAATTAGCAGAAGAAGAAAAAAACAAAAACATGTTTGCCCTGAAAGGCTGAAAGAAAAAGAAATGGGAACAAAAAAGTGGAAATGATCTGAAAAAAACAACAAAAAAATAACAGCTGAAATTAGAAAAAAAAAAAAAACAGCTGAAATTAGCTGAAAAAATGTTTACATTTGCACAAAGAAGCTGAAAGAAGCTGAAGCAGAGCAAAAGGTGAAAGCAGTAAAAGGTTGTAAACAGATCTAAAGATCTGAAGGATTTAAAATGAGCTCAGTTCATTTTTTATGAGAAAGAAGTGGCAGAAAAGGCTAAATATTCCAAAAAGCTAAAGTTGCATCAATACCAAAAGTCATAGCAGGACTGTGCTGAAAGAGCTGAAGGTTTTGATTTATGATTTGTTGAAATAGCTCAAAAACTGCGGGACAAGAATTGTGGCAAATAATGTACAGAAGAAAAATGGATCACATGGTGAGAATGATTCATAAAAATTCACACAACGAAGGTTTTATTGTTATTGTTAAAGTTTTATTGTTGGGTTTTAGGGCTCGATGTGGATTATAAGGACGACATTTTTACACCCTCACCCTCCTGAAAGAGCACTCAGGTCCAGTAATCGGGTGCTTTTAGCCACAAACTGAACTCAAACCTCGCAGTGACTGAGTCTCAGCTCCATCTCTGTGGAACGAGTTATAAAATCGTCTGAAAAAAACCCACATTTTAATTGAGATCCATTTTTCTTCTGTAAATTTTTCAGCACACAACTCGTTCCTCAATTTTTGTCCCATTTCAACAATTCATGCATCAAAACGTCCAGCTCATTCAGGACATTTCTGCTGTGACTTTTGGTATTTGTTCAGTTTGTATTTTTTTGAAAAATTTAATTAATTTAATTCTTTCATTCATTCCAAAATGTTAGGATAATTTAACATCATCCCTTTTTGCTGATGAAATAAATATGCTGCACAGGAACGAGTAGATATTTTTCTCATCCCAGTTGAATCTTGCAAAATGGAACAGCTATCCTGATGCATGCTCAATAATGCAAAATGGAACAGAGTTGAAATACAAGCAGGCAAGATGTTTGTCGCTTCGTCTACAAGTCTGCTCAAAAAGACTTTTCATTCGTTTAATAAATCGTTCATTTCAGCTCATTGACAATGAACTGAGCTCATCTTTCAAACACTTTCAGCTGTTTAAATCTTTCATTTTAGCTCCTTTCTGCCAACTTCATCTTTTTAATGCTCCTTTCAGCTTCTCTGCTAAACATTTTCTGCTTTTTATGTATATTTCTGCTAATTTTAGCCTTTTCTATTTGTTTTTGCCAATTTCTCCTTTTCAGCAATGTTTTTGCGCATTTCATTTTTGTCTGCCAATTTCAGATTTTTTTTAAATCTATTCAGCCTCTGCAAATTTCAGCTTATTTCTGCTTTATTCAGCTTTTTCTGCACATTTCTTTCAGCAGCTCAAATTCAAGTCTCGTTAACAGTTCAGTGTTAAAAACTTTTCAGCCTGATTTCAGCTTCTTCAGCAAAAATCATTCATACTGCATTTCTGTGGGATATGCAACTTCTCCAGTTGAATTTCAACTAAATCCTGACAAATCTTGTTTCAAATATTAATTATTTCACTTTTTAGGCTGCTGTTGTTGACCTAATCATTTTGTTGTTTTATTAAAGTTTTTCACAAGACTTTATTAACCTGCATGGTTTTCAAAAGGGTTTATGAATAAACTACAGAAATTGCATTTCCATAATAGAAAAAAGCTGAAATTAACATAACTTTCTGATACTGATCGATGCGTTCTGGCATCGATCAATTTACAAATCAAGCTGTTACTTGGTATGACTGTTCGTGTTTGAATGTGTTAAATTTCTCAAAACTGTAATTTTTGGAAGCTGAAATAAAAAAAAAATAGTGAAGTGTGTCTTAAATGATAAATACCCCAAGATATAAAAACTGTATTAACACTATTAAAGAACAGGTCTTGCGTATTTATGTTACACAAATATTCCCACTGCATTAAAGAGACAAATTGAAGATAATTATTTAATAAAATGAGGGTTATGAGGGGGCCCCTGAAGCTTTTTCTCCCCTGTAAGGGGTCCCTGAACTCAACAAGTTTGAGAACCCCCGGTTTAACTTTAATCACAGAAGACAATGAACGCAGACTCTTTTGATCACTTTAATGTCATAGAGGAACCACAAGAACTTTAAAAGAAGGTTACAGCGCTGTACATCTGGGAACACCTCCGACTGATCAGAGAGTCAAACCCTCTCCCTTTAAATACTATTCATTTAAATGTTCTATATTCTTAGAATGATACAGTGATACAATAAAAGCTTGTAACTGGTCCTGCAGCTTTACTGATATGTCGATGTTGGGACTGGGATTTTCTTGTCATTTTTTTTTTTCTTCTATTTTTCCAAAAAAAGGAAAATTAAAGTTACGATCCAAAACCATACGACAGGCAGAAACTGCCAGGTTGAAATCCTGTACAACTCCCAATTCACTCACACAATAGAGAGAAAGAGAGAGAAGAGGAGGAGGAGGAGATAGTATTTTTTAATGTTCTGAAGGCTGGTCCGTGACGGAAATGGCCATCGATTCTTAGTGAGGTCCAAAAGAAGCACAAGTGATGGTTGTTTTTTTTTTTTTGCACTTTCTGTAACCTCAGCTCCTATATTGCCTGAGCGCCGACCCGCTCCGAGGCTCACTTCCATAGCTGTGTGCTCAGAGTCTGGCCGGACCCGGCGGCGGCCCACCCCCCCATGGCTGCTGGGGGCTGACCGAAGCCCACCTGGCCTCCTGCGCCGTTCAGAGCCAGTCCTGACATCTGCTGGTTCACCTGAGGAGAAAACAGCGTCACATTTACAAACCCTACATTTTTACCAAGAAATCATGAAGAATCATTTGTATGTTTTAACTGACGCCACGTGAGGAGCTGAAGAGCTGAAGATCCACACATTGTGGGGTTCTGGTTCCGTACCGTCAAAGTACTCGTAGTAGTTTTCATAATCCTCTTTAAAGTGTTAAAGCTGCTGTAAAGTCATACAGACTGGAAAAATAAAGTACTACGCTACGTCGAGGTTCAACTTTCACAGACTCGCTCTTTCGTGGTTTTTCAAAGTAAGATTGAACAGGAGAAAAAAAAAAAGTGCACGACACGATTGTCCACTTTAATATTACTCACATGATTGGGACAGTACTGGATACTGCACAGGAAAAAGTTTACGAAAAAAATTACTTTAGACAGGCGCCGCCATTTTGTAGTTTTCTCTCAATAAGCCTTCACTGCAACGCCACTCAAAACGACTGCATTTCCCAGAAGCCAACAGTGCCCCACCTAGAAGCCCTGTTGCCTTCTGCTGAAACGGAGGGAAAGTTTTTATTCGACCCAAAAAGTTTGCTCTTTATTCATACAGCGACTTCGGTGCCCAGCGGATGCAGAGAGCCGCATGGAACCGGACCAGAACCGGACCTCTAGAGTGCCACCTGCCGGCCCACGAGGTCTTCTGAATGGGGAGGCGCGTTCTCTCCAGAGCCCACTGGGACTACCGAGCCAGGGAGATGACCAGAACCGGCAGGGTAGGTCTGCCGAAACGGAACCAAGTCGGAACAGAACCAAGCTGCTGTTCTGCAGAGTAAAATTTAGTAGCTACATATACATACGTTGTTCAAATTATGTAGGTTTAAGAGTTTAGAACATTGCAAGAGTGTGGGAAGAGTTTATAAAGCCTTACAAATATACATAAATACATAAATAAATATAACGTCACATCTTTGTGATTTTTTCTCTTATTGGGGGAGGTCCGGAACGTAACGCCCGCAATAAACAAAGGACTACTGTAATTAAATAAAATCAAAGTGGTAAACAAAATCTGCACGTTTATTTTCTCTAAATGATCGTGTTGACTGAAAATAGATCATCAATGGAGACGTGCACGGAGGAATCATCTGGATTTGACTTGTGGATTTTTGAAACTTTTTTTACTCAGATATGTTGAATAAAGTCTGCGGATAAAAAGACTGGTTCGTTTGTTGAACTACAAAAAAACCTAGAATACGTTTTGTGAACGATGTGTTGGAAAGCCCAGGTCTGTTTAGAATTTATTTGTTGGTGTTTGTCACGTCTCGTCCAGATGTTGCTGCTCGGCTCTGAACGGGGACTCGTCTTGTTCTCACTTCATGGACTTCATGTGCGTCAGAATGGTTTTAAAAACGTTCTTCTGTTTTAAAATTAATTTATTCTTGTTTTTATTTCCGCCTTCGTCTTATTCTACTATTGTTGTTCAGCACTTTGGTTACTTCTTGTTGTGAAATGTGCTTCATAAATAAAATGACTATAAAGCGATCCACCGACCTGCTTCATCCTTATATCCGTCTTACTCGTTCTTTGTCTTTTCTTTTGCGATTAGTCGCAGATTCTCCATTTCCAGTCTGTGTTTTTAGCATTCTGTGTCTTTGTGGGTACAGAATCAAATACTTGCCGTAATCTCTTGAGAAAAAAAAAGTGACACATCCCTAACTCTAAAGTTGTTTGTGCTGCCATCTAGTGGGGACTGGGAACAAGACTTTATAAAGTACTCTGACAAAGGCCTGTAGCAACATCCGGTGGTTCCCAACCCTGGTCCTTGAGGAACACCATCCTGCATTAGTAGGTTCCCTGCTCCAACACACCTGATTCAGTGATTTAATTACTTCCTCTTGTTCTGCAGAAGCCTGTTAATCACCCATTAATTAAAACCAGGTGTGTTGGATCAGGTATTCCTCAAGGACCAGGGTTGGGAACCCCTGAATTAAACCCCCAACAAACGGCAGTAATCGTAACAACAAATGAACCGTGTAAGTTTTAAGATAAAGAAGTTTGTTACAAATCATCATTAGACTTGACACAGATCGCGTGTTCTCCATACCTGACCCATGTTCCACTGGGCCTGCTGCCCCGGCTGGATGGCGTACATGCCCTGAGGCGGCACCATGCCTGCAGGCATCGGAGCACCCTGTGGTCCCATCATCCTGGGGGCCATGCCCATCATACCGGCAGCAGGCGCGTTCCCCATGAAGCCGTTCGGCATTGTCATGCCAACCATCATGCCCGGTGTGGGTCCCATCATGGCGCCCATGACAGTGGTGGGTGGCACGGCTGAGCCCATACCAGGAAAGGCCTGGTACCCAGCAGGAGCCTGGACTGGAAACTGCATCTGAGGGGGGCTCATGAACATGCCAGCTGTGATGGGAAGAGAAGAAACACGGAGCTTAAAAAGTGAAGGATGTTTCTAAAACTCAGAACGGGTTCATGTACGATACGTCGGGAAAGATCGGTGGCGAGTCTACGGCCTCGAAGCGATCGTCACACGCAGCATGCTACGTTTAAACATGGACGCTACATGTTAGCATGTGTGTATCGATTGTGAAGATTTTGTGCAATCGGAAGCAATTTATTATTATCTGACATGATTGTTTGGTCCAGTGTTTACATTCGATCTCGCCTTTTGCTGGCTATAAGTTAATAAAAATAAATAAATAAAAACATTTGGGACACTTTTGCCTGCAGTGTGAACTTAAGGTTGTTAGCAGAATTATTCATTATATGCTTGAAGAATAATGTTTTACTTTTACGACTAAAAAAATAAACATGTCCATTTAAGACCTGTTTTTATGAGTTTGTTTTTTTATTATTGTTTGACGTCTATGACAGGCGAACATTTTTCAAGAAGTGAGGTGGAAACCAAAATAAATCAGTATGAGGCTAAACTATGAAAAGAAAGGTGAATAAAATGTAATATGGATTTAAATTTTACAGGATTTTTAAACTTCAAGCTCTTCCAAATCATCACAATGTTAGGAAAAAGGTGCAGGTTGGATGTAATGAAAACTATCATTAAATGGCAACTCGGTGAGTTCTTAAATTAATCATTTTGACCATTAAAAGCACAATTACTGTGTAAATATCTTAAATTTTTAGCTTCTTTTGTTAAATTTAGAACAAGTTTACGTTCCGTTTGGACATTGTTCCTAACATGCAGCAAAGCAAAAATTCTGAGACTAAAATATTTTAGTTTCTGACAAGATAAATGAATAAAACAACAGAGTGCTCACCAGGGGGGGCCTGCTGGGGCATGCTGTTGGTTCCATACAAAGACAAGATGGAGTCCTTGGACAGAGGCTTCTTGGCTGCGTCCTCAGTTTTAGTGGTGCTACCGCTTTCACCGAACAGGTCGAGGTCGCTCTGCCCGGACCCTGAGCTGGCTGCGCCTCCTGCGCCTCCTGCTGCTGGAGGTTGTGTTGGAGTACTGGCCGAGTTACTGGCGCTCACCTGGAGGGAGGAGAAAAAGATCCTAAACTTTCGGAGCAGCGAGGCCAGACCTTAACTTTTGATCCTTGACAAAAACGTTTGGCTCACGTTAGTCAGACCTCAGACAATAATTGGGTTATAAATAAGGGGAAAAATGTAAATTAGTTGCTTCAGACTATAAGTCGCAGGACTTGCTAATTTATGCAAAAAGATGTGACTTAAAGTCTGAAAATTACGGTACTTTGGACAGGCGACAGCCACCATTTTGTAGTTTTCTTTCAACAAGTCTACACTGTAATGCCAGTCAAAAAAAAATAAATAAATACTGATACACTACCCAGAAGCCAACAATGCTTCCAGCTGCTGCTTTCTGCTGAAATGGAGGGAAAGTTGTGAATCTATGAAGTTCACAGAACTGGCAGGAAAGTTGCACACAATCCTGAAGCTTCCTGAAGCTCACTTATCCACGTGCACATCAACCTGGACGGGGCGGTGCGCTTCATCGCTGCAGGGTAGGTCTGCAGAACCAGAACTGAGCTGGACCGGAACCAAGCTGCTGCTCTGCAGAGCTGTCGAGTAAAATTCAGTAGCTACATATACGTATGTTGTTAAAATGACGGAGGTTTAAGAGTTTAGAACATTGCAAGAGTGTGGAAGGGTTTATAAAGCCTTAAAATATATAAATACTGAAATAAATAGCGTTCCGACTTCATGGTTTTTCACCTCTTGAGTGAGGTTGTGTGGAACGTAACTCCCGTGATAATCCAGGGACTACTGTCTCAGGGGTCGACATAAACGGTTTCCGTTCATCTGAGACAACCAGATCTCACCTGGAGGTTGTCGGGCAGACAAACAAATGGAATATAATAATAAAGTTCTCCATCGCTGCGATGGATTTCTGTCATTTTGAACATTTGTAAAATTGAAAGGAGGAAAAAAGAAGGTGTTTTGTTGTGGTCTTGTTAAACTCAAAGTCTGATGATGATCCACCAGCTGATGCTGCGTTCAACAGATAAAGAGAACCTGAGCCACAGTTTGACCCAGTCAGAGCAGAACACCTGTTTATGTTCACTTGGCTACATTCAAATGATCAAAACACAAGTTAGTTTCTCTTTACCACTTGTGCAGTACTGATAAAATGTGTTTATTTGGTGTCAACAGTAACAATGATGAAATCCAAATGAACACTTTTGTAAAGTTAAACAACAAATGAGGCTCTTAAACAAGAATTTCTTAATTAGCATTTCAGTCAATAAATGTTTGACCTTTTTGTAAATCAGAAAAAAAAAAAATTAATCAAGTACCAGTTTAAAATTATAGTAAAATAGTATAATTCTAAGACAGAGAAAGGGGCTGTGCTGAATATGTAAAATACATCATTATAATATCAGTAACTCACAGGACTCCAATAAATCATAATCCGTTATATTCAGGCTCACGCTCTGTGTCCTCATCATATTCACCTCACTGGCCTTAATAATGGTCGAGATCAAACACATGAAGAATGCAGTGATGGTCGGGAGAAGAGAAAAATGTGAGTTTATCATAGCTGGCATCACCATTGTGATATTTAACAGCTGAATCTTGAAGTGTTGAATAAAATAAAGAGAGATCTTTGTAGGTCCTGGTGAGGAATTATTCTCGAGATGAACTGTTAATCCCGTTTCTGATTCTCTTTCATGTGAGCAGAGGCAGCCTCGTGGGCTGTTGATCTGGATGGTTCTCATTTTTATTTATTTTTATTGTCTGCATATTTAGTCTGAGTGAGGAGGCCACTGCTGTCCAGCAAATCTGCCTCGCCTCTTTTCTTACCTGAGAGAACTGAGCTATGGATGAAGATGATGGGAGGGGGTTGGACACCATGGGACCAAATATATCCAGGTCGTTGTTCTGGCTTGTGCTCGGGCTTCCGTTGTTAGTTGATGGGGCGGCAGCAGCAGCTGGTGCATCTGTGACAGAATTAAGGACAAACTGGTTTTGCAGGTGGAATGTGCAGAAACCTCGACGGAAGCCACTGAAACTAGATTTTAGTATGATTCACTTACAAATAAAAGTCTGATAAACGTGTTGATTGTACGGTAGCAGACGGGTGCAAACGAGCTGCAAAACAGCTAAACGAGCAGCAAACACATGAAGGATGCAAACTCCAAAACAAACAAACAAACAAAAAAAAAGCAACAGAGAAATGCTGCAAAAGAAAAAAATAATCTGCGATCACGGAAAACAGAAGAAGAAACATACAACCAAAAAGATGAATGCAAAGGAAAAATGCTGCTAATACCAAAAACATTAAAAAACACCAAAACTACTGCCAGTAAGAAATGCCTCAAACTCGCTCCAAAAAACAAAAGAGCACCAGACCAGGACGGGGGGGGACTCCACCACCAACTCATCTGGGACCAGACCCCTTTAAAGACATTATAGCTGAGCAGCCACTGGACAAAACGTGGCTTCATGTGCACGGAGCACTAAGTTTCAGCTATTTTATTTTAAAGACAAATATTTTCTGGTTATTTTTATCCTGGATGCACAAAAATCAGAGCGCTGGGGCTGAAATTGGCTCGAGGACGGTACCACCAATAATTTATGGCAAAACCCTAAATATCTTGGTTTTGGTACCAAGAGTACTTTAACATAATTTCTGTCCTCATGTATTCATAATATATTTCTATTAAGGTAGAATATGTTTACATCAAAGACTATTGAACTTGACTGAAAATATTTAGAAATATAGTTTTAAAAATGAGCCTGTTTTGTAAATTGATAAAACTTTTATACTTATCAAAACACCAATATTAGTGATACTGCCGCAGACGATACACTAAACTTATTGAGAGTATTTAGAAGTCTTAGAAATGTGCCAAATCATTTTAGCTGGACTTACTGCTTGTTTTGCTAACCTTACCCCCAAATTCTGATTTCATATTGTGGCAACATTTTTCTAATGCTTTCTTTTTTATGTTTATCTTAATATAATGTTTTTGGTTTACTATGAAATAGCAAATCACATGATTTAAAGCCATTGTCTAACCAATGTTTAATTTTCTGCCTTTACCTTTAACTGTAGCTACCATACTTTTTGTTTCCTTACATCAGTGGTTCCAAACCATAGTCCTTGAGGAACACCATCCTGCATGTTTTAGTTGTTCCCCTGCTCCAACACACCTGATTCAGTGATTTAATTACCTCATCGTGTTCTGCAGAAGCCTGTAAATCATCTATTTATTCAAATCAGGTGTGTCGGAGCAGAGAAACAACTAAAACATGCAGGATGGTGTTCCTCAAGGACCAGTGTTGGGAACCCCTGCTTTACATTATCAAAACCTCTGTTGAGCCGAGAGATTTTATATACCGGTATCCTTGCATCCTATAAAAGTATTATGACTATATGACAGCTAAAATATCTTTAAGGGGGTCTGGTCCCTGACTTGGTGGTGGAGTTCCCCCTCCTGGTCTGGTGCACTTCTGTTATTTGGAGCGAGTTTGCAGCGTTTACTTGCAGTTGTTTTGGTGTTTTTTTTTTAGTGTTTTTGGTATTTGCAGCATTTTTCTTTTGCATTTGATTTTTTTGGTTTATGTTTCTTATTTTTCCTGTGATTGCAGATTGTATGTGGCAGCATTTTTCTGTTGCATTTGTGTTTTGGAGTTTGCATCGTTTTCATTGTTGTGATGATGATACACGGTTCTATTTGTCCATCGATTCCAATAAATCCGATCAGTTACTTAGAATACAAGCATTAAAGACATAAAAGCCTGGATGACTTATTTTTTTGCTTTTAAACTCAGACCAAGACTGAGGTTTTAGTTTTTGAACCTGAGCATCTTAGGAATAAATTCTGCAGTCTTTCACTTCCTCTGGATGGCTTTAATCTGTCCTCCAGCTCTAATGTTAAAAATCTTGGTGTTATTTTTGATCAGGACATGCCTTTTATCCCCCACATTAAAAACATTACCAGAACCTCTTTTCTTCCACCTGCATTATGTCACTAAAATTAGAAACATTTAGTCTAAAAATTATGCAGAAAAACTGGTTCATGCATTTGTCACGTCTAGACTGAACTATTGCAATGGTTTGTTATCTGGATGTCCAAATATGTCTTTAAAACGTCTTCAGTTAATCCCAAATGCTGCTGCCAGAGTCTTAACTGAAGTTAGTAGCAGAGATCATATCTCTCCAGTTTTAGTTTCTCTCCATTGGCTCCCTGTCAAGTCCAGAATTTAATTCAAAATCTTACTTCTAACCTACAAAGCTCTCAACAACCTAGCTCCATCTTATATTACAGATCTTATCGTTTCATATTTTCCCAACAGAGTACTTTGCTCTTAGACTGCAGGTTTACTTGCAATTCCTAGAGTTTCCAAAAGCAGAATGGGAGGCAGAGCTTTCGGTTATCAGGCTCCTCTCTTGTGGAACCAACTTCCAGTTTCAGTCCATGAGCCTGACACATTGTCCAGTTTTAAGACTTAAGCTATCCCTTATTTTTGCTGCTATAGGCGTAGACAGCTGAAGGACAAATTGACATGTCCTCACTCTGCTGCTGTCTTTATTTGCTCTTCTCTACCCGTTTGTATTTGTAATTATTCCTATCTTAACATGTGTTCTTGAACTGAATCATTCATGTGTTTGCAGCGAGTTTTAACTATAGGATTATCAGAGTAAAGAGAGCTTCAAAGAGTGCGTGCCACACTTTGCAGATTTTCATTTGTAAAATATTTTTTTAAACAATGTATCATTTTCTTTCCACTAAAGTTGGTTCATCAGATAAAATACTTTGACGTTTGTGTTTGTAACATGAAGAAAAATGTAAAGTTAAGAGTACAGATGCTTTCTGAACGAAACTTAAAAATCAGCTACGTTTATTTCCCTTAATCTAGCAAGAAAAAATAACCCCCAGAATTAATAATGTGCACATAAAGACACGATTTCATTCAGACCCAAAAGTAACTTTGTCCAAGCAACGTTCCTCAGAGAGGAATCATTTTCACATTTTCTTGTTCAGAATGGTTACATCTGATTGTACTTTTTCTTCTATGCATGGACTGATTAAATGAGGTCTGGAACAAAAGCTGATTTGATTCAAGGTCAATATAACCGAGATAAGCTGATAATAAACAATCCATGTTTTTAATAACGCCTCACACCAAGGAGTAAAGTTTAAAATAAGAATACAAATAACATCTGGTTGCTTGCTCCACCAAATGTGACTCAAAAGAAACAAAACCATCATTTTTATATCCAAATAGAAATATTCACACAACATCCATTAATTGTGTGGAAGACCCAAACAGTGCCATTCTTATGAAACCTGCAAGTGCAAACCAAAACCTCTAAAACCAGCAACCACTTGTTGTGTTTCACATAAAGCTTCATTCCAGCTGCTTCCCTACACACCAGCAACACTTCGCTCAGGTTTCCTCTCACGCTACGCACCGAGCTGCCACAAATGTCAACGTCTAAACGTTCATCCAGTTTGCAAACAAAACAAGAAGTCAGCAGCTTTTGCACTTCCTCTTACAATCTCACACACACACACAAACATTCAGTAGTGCCTGATGTAAAGCGGTAGGCCGGATGTTTAGTTGAAATTTAAAACAGCTTCCCTGTCTATCTGAAGCAGTGACAGAAGTGAAGCTGGGCTAGATGTAAATAATGTGCTGACCCGCCTGCTGTAACACACTCCGATTGGTGACATTAAACTGTATTTGAAACTAAAACTTCCTCTCTAACAGACTGATCAATACATGTTGGAATATCAGCTCACGGAGAATAAATTAACCAGACATGGACGTTGAAACGGTCTCGCACTAAACCAAAACAGAGCAAATCAAATCACGATGCCATAAACTGAGAGAGCAAATATCAAGAGTTACGACAAACCCAGCTCGGGGCAGCTTAACTCCACTGTTCACAAGTTTACAACCGACAGACTAACAATAAAAAAGCCCACACAGTTAGATATGTTGTGTAACCTGATGTCATAAATATGTTTCAGGTTTCATGTTTCTGACACTCACCAAGGCCTAGTAGGTTCACAGAAGGTTCTGAAGTCTTCACTGGGCTGACTTTGGGAACTGACTTGGGCTCTTCATTCTGGACATTTAAAAACATCAGTGCAGACTCAGGACACAGCAGAAACGATGATAACATGTTTGTTTATTCATGCAGGAACGTACAGGTGAGACTGACCTTGGTGTAAGACGACACCTTGCTCCCTCGGTCCGGCTCCCGCTCTTTCTTAATGTCTTTGGGCTGAAGGAACGGATAAAAACAGGGTGAACACGCGTGTTCGTTTTATTCTAGGGTAAGGTACGGAGCGATACGTACACTGCTCCCATTGATCGCGCTTTTGTTGTAGTATTTCTTCTTCTCGTATTTATCCCTGATTAAATATTCCACTGCTCTGATGGCAGAGTTAAGAGGAGAAACGAGTGAATAAGTTGTGTCGCTGCATTTGTGTCTGACGAGAGCAAAGGATACTGGTCTGTTTGAGGTCTTCTGAAGTTGTCTGGAAGGTTGGCCTCATAAAGCCGCCTGGCCCTCGTGTTCCCCATTTCCTGTATGCTCTGAAAAACACAGTTATATAAAAACATGTTTGAAAATGTTCTTCTAAAATTAAAATACACATTAAAGAGACATTGCTGATTTACTACATGGTAATAAGTTTGCTCGTTGTACCCGTGGCCCCCCAAATATTATCTAGAGAAATTGCATTTCCTGCGAAAACGCAGTGTGAATGGTTATTGCTGAAGAAATTACAAAAAAAAAAACACAGCTGAAATTAACAAAAAAAAACACGAAATGTAGCTGAAATGGAACAACACGCCTAAATTAGCAGAAGAAAGCAGAAAGAATATGTCTGCTGAATTAGGTTGAAATAAGCAGAGATTTGCACAAAATTAGAAAAGAAGCTAACAGGAGGAAAAAAAAGAAAAGAAGCTAACAAAAAAGCTGAAATTGGCACACACACACAAACAGCTGAAAAGTAGTTGAAAGGCAGAAGGACGCTTAAACTACCAGAAAGAAGCAGAAAGGGCTGAAATTAGCTAAAAATGTGGAATTGGCTGAAAAAGTTCAAATAGCATAAAACAGCTAAATAGTAGCTGAAATAGCAGAAAAGGCTGAAACTAGCCAAATTAAACTGAAATTAGCATAAAGCAGTTAATTAGGCTGAACGTAGCAGAAATTACCATGAAAAACTTGAATTGATCTGAAAACGTGAGTGCTAAGTAGCTGAAAAAATAGAACAAGCTTAAATTAGCAGAAGGCAGAAAGAACATGTTTGCCTGGAAGAAGAAGAAATTACCAAAAAAAGTGGAAATTATATAAAAAAAAAACAGCTTAAATTAGCAAAAAACAGCTGAAAAATAGCTAAAAATGTAGAAAGAAGCTTAAATTACCAGAAGGAAGTGGACAGAGCACATTTTTTATGAATTAGGTAGAAAAAGTTGAAATTAGTGCAAAAAAATGTGGAATTTGCAGAAAAAACTACAATAAGCATAAAACTGCTAAATAGTAGCTGGAATAGTAGAAAAAGCTGAATCTAGCTGAAATTAACAGAAAAAAGTTGGAAGCACAAAAACGTTTGTTAGCAGAAAGAATTTGAAAGGAGCACAATACGGCTGAAATTAGCTGAAAGAAGATGAAAAATAATTTAAATTTGCACCAGGAAGCTGAAAGTAGCTGAACCAGAACAAAATGTGAAAGGAGCAGCAAAAGTTTGTACAGAACAGATCTAAAGATGTGAAGGATGTAAAATGAGCTCAATTCATTTTCTATGGGAAAAAAACATGGCAGAAAAGGCTAAATATTTTAAAAAGCTAAAGTTGCACCAAAAGCAAAATTCATAGCAGGATTATCCTGAACGAGCTGAACGTTTTGATTTAAGATTTGTTGAAGTAGCTTGAAAACTGTGGGACAAGAATTGTGCCAAAAAATATACGTAAGAAAAATGGATCCCAATAGTGTGAATGCTTCATAAACATTCACACAAATAAACCCTGGATCCAGATCTGAGACCAGAACCTAAAAACTGAGAATACTTCCTGGTACCAGTTTAGTGTTCAGTTCATTTGAATGACAAACCTTGCTGATATAGTTTGTCGCCTCTCACCATCAGACTCAAAAGACATCGAGCTGGATAGTTTAAAGCCGTCACCGAACATTTAGCGTGTTTTCAAGTTTAAAAACTTCCAAATGACTGCACAACTCAAAGAACATATGATCAAAATTAAAGCTTGATCAATCTCAGAGTTGAAAAGTGAGACAGAAACAGGCCGAGTTCAACGATCCGTTTGGCTCTTCCAGGTTTTAACCACCGTTACTGGAGTGCAGCACAAACAAACACTTTGTTCTACAAAAGATGAGTGGTGAATCAAAACAGAATGCGACACAATATAAACTGTTTTTACGCTCACAAATGGAAATGATGATAGAAAATATTTTATACATCTACTTTCCCAAAAAGACCAGAAGCAGTTTAACTTTGGTGCTGCCTCTGAGGACAGCGAGTACAGTTCCAGTAAAAGTGATTTTTGTATCGCTTAGCTTTTAACAGCTCTGCATGACATTAAGAAAAAATGTTATTGTGATATTATAGAATACTGCAATGATGTCAGTTGGGAAACCCACATACAACATTAAGACCCCTCTTTGTGCTGGCTGTGGGCATTTAAAGGGGCTGAGGTCCACTGGACTGTCAAATTTGGATGTTGTTGCATGAAGTTAATGTTTGTAAATGGTCTTTAAAATCCAACCATGTTTGCATGTTCTCTCCGTGCACGTTTGTGTTTTTTTGGGGTACTCCGATTTCTTCACAGGCCAAAAACATGCACGTTAGGTTAATTGGGAACTAATGGCGCTAACCCACACTGCACTAGTAAAGGGCCTGTCCATTGCTGGTATGCACACCCACCCACTCAGCCCAGTTTATGGGACCATCTTGTTCATTAAGCAAACAAAGCTGCACGGTGATGATTATGACGCATCAGAGTGCAGCCGGTGATTGGTCACTGGATGAACCATTTGGCAAAACTGCAAACTCCATCTTTCCTCTCTGATCGTTGCAGAAGGCAGAGTGTGGGGTTTGTAGTTATTTTTCTAGAGCTCAATAATGAAAGTGTGAAATCCTCCACAACTGACTGTCGCAGAAAATGATATCCCTGGAGCGTCGCACAAAATGACCTGTTACAACGCCACCCACAGAGGGGGGAAACAAGTCACAGTGGGTATTCACACACACCTGAGAAGAACCTAGACGACGAGAACCGACTTGAGTCGTACTTATCTATGGCACTGCGGTTTAAATTGTCCCTCGGTGTGGGTGAGAAAGGTTATTTGTCTCTGTGATGGACTTGTGACCTGTCCAGGCTCCCTCTCTCAGTGACAGCTGGAGGTAGACACCAACTCCCCTCATTCCAGAAAGGAGAGGAGGGTAAAAAAAGATGTGAAGCTCTAATAAAAGATTATTTTTATGCTCATTTCAAATGTTTTTTGTCATTTTACTTTCAGAAAATCTTAAATGTTTCTAATGGAGAGCAAAAATGTGGGTTTGGCACACAAAGTTTAACATTGTCTCCTTTTATAAATACTCTTGTTACACCAAGTCATTCATTTTCAATAAGTCATTTTGATTTTTGAAATGATAAATGGCCTGTACTTAAATAACACCTTTCTATCTTATCAAGACACTCAAAGTGCTTTACACTGCAATCTGTGCCCTCATTTACCCATTCATACTACTACTCTACTAGATCTATACAAAAAATAATCAGTGCTTTATCACATTCATACACTGATGGGACACACATCAGAGGCAATGAGGGGTTCAGTCAGTGTCTTGCCCAGGGACACTTCGGCGTGTGACTACTGGTGGAATCAAACCCCCAACTCTTGCATTGGATGATGACTGCTCTAGCCACAGCTGCCCCATTTAACATTTTGCATGTACACATAAAGAGGTTAGTATCATATGTATATATTAATAAAAAGAGCATTTAATGATGTGTGCTTGTACTAAAATAGATTAGACTAAGATTAGTAAATTATTATGCATTTATTTAATTTACATTTTACTCCAACCTCAAACAGGGTTGTAGCTCACAAGACAGAACTGGAAACCCAGTACCTGGATTTGTTCTGTGGTCCACTGGTCCAGGTTGACTGATTTCACCCTGGATATGTGAACTCCCAGGTTCCTGTGGATGCCTGCACACCGGATGCAGATGAAAACTCCCAGATTCCAGGATGCCCATCTGGGACCTGCGTGGCAAGATTTCAAACCGTGAGAGGAAAATGAACCACAGTAAATTAAAAACACAAAATACAACATGTCTGATCTCGCTTCCGCTTCAAGCGCCACGGGGAAGCTCTGCATTCTTTCCAAATGCCCCGACATGAAAACCAGTCTCGAGTTTCTTCGAAGAACAATCATTGATTTGTGTGTTAAAGCCGGGTGAGGAGGGGCAGAGCGGAGCTTAGGTGGATTTCCAGAAGTTAGCTCGCTGGTTAGCAACTTCAGGGGAAGAGCGGTCAGCTGACGAGCCTGAGCCGTTTACATCGTAGCGAGTTAGCTTAAAGAAGCTAAACAACGAAGGGTCGACGTTTTCACCCCGCGTTCCGGTTCCGAATTATGCTGTTAGTTTAAACGAGTGTGTTAAACCAGGTTTCGGTGTGAACGCCGCACCTTTCGCCTCGCAGTCGGCGCAGTACTTGTTGTCTTCCTCCCTCAGCATTTTGGACAGGATGGCCTGGTGCTGCTCGTTGAGTTTCTGGGCCTTCTCTCTCTCCGAGCGGGTCGTCATGGTCGCGGCTTGAGCGGAACTTCCTTTATTAAAAGAAAACTATTTGAAACAGTCGTGGGTTGAGATATTTTTTTGTGATAAATATCATAATCAGAGGTCTGAGGGAGCCTCCGAATGAGCAATATGAAAACACCCGGAACCGGAATCTGTGCTCCGCCCACAAGAGCTGTAGAGCTGACGCGGCGTCCGCACTGGATTGGTAGAGCGTCATGACGTCACATGACGCACATTTTGAATGCGTTTTTTTTTTTTAGTTTCACAAAATGTCACTACACATTTACTACACGATATACTGTAACTAAAATTATTGATTTCGCTTCTTAGTGACCAGTTCTAGGAACTAACAGAGCTGCCAATGATCATATTTTTTTAACCTAATAACCTTCACATCAATGTGAAGAAGACAAAGGAGATGATTGTGGACTTCAGAAGGAACAAAAACACCTACACCCCCCTGAACATAAGAGGATCTGCGGTGGAAGTGGTCTCCAGCTACAAGTACTTGGGTGTACACATGAATGACAACCTCAGCTGGAGCAACAACACCACCAGCCTGATCAAGAAAGCTCATCAGAGACTCTACTTCCTCAGACGGCTGAGGCGAGCTGGTCTGGGAAGCTCAGTCCTCACCTCCTTCTACAGGTGTGCAGTGGAGAGCATCCTGTGCTCGAGCATCAATGTGTGGCATGGAGGCTGCACAGCTGCAGAAAGAAAAGCTTTGCAGAGAGTGGTGAAGGCTGCACAGAAATCTGTTGGAATCAGTCTCCCCACCATCACAGACATCTACACCTCCAGATGCAGGAAGAGGGCCACCTGCATCATGAAGGACCCCACTCACCCAGCACACACACTTTTTGCCCCACTCCCCTCAGGAAGGAGGTTAAGGAGCATTAAGTGTAGAACCACTAGACTGAGGAACAGCTTCTACCCTGAGGCTGTTAGACTCATGAATCTCTAACTAGAATAATCACTGTGAAAAACCATATCATGTTGCTGCTGATCTGTTTCATGTTGCTGCTGATCTGTTTCATGTTGCTGCTGATCTGTTTCAATGTTGATGTGTTCATGCGTGCACATCTGCTCACAGACTCATGTTCATGTTTGTGGTGATGTTCAATGTTTTATGTTATGAGTGCTTAGTGTATATTTAGTTGATGTTTTTTTCTTAGTTCATATCTTAGATGTTATTACTGTTTTTCTTATGCATTTTATTGTTGGATGTAACTGGGACCCTGTGTACATAATTTCGCTCCACCACATGTACCACATGAGGTGCGAATGACAATAAAGAAACTCTGACTCTGACTCTGATTTTTTTAAACAAAGATAAAAATCAATAACTAAATATTATTTTTACATTTGATCACCTCATGACTGTAAAACAGCATCAAGTGTGAATTTTATTGCAACTCTGCACAAAACGGATTTTAAAATTGAGCAACACACGCGTAAAAGTTTACAAGTTTATTAAACTAGAACATATACGCAAACAGTGTAAAGGTACCTCACAATTTCAAAAATAAACAGTTAAAAACTATAAATCTTAAAATTTTGGCTCAATTTAAAGTTTAGAACTGATTCAATGTATGTTAGTGTGTATTTGATAGGAAGTTTTAAACAACATAAAATAACAGAAGAAATTCTAATTAAACATTTAACAGAGCCAAATATGCTGTGAGGGAAATTCTTACAATTAAGCATTGATGATGATAATTTCCAGTTAAACACTGTTGTACAAAATAAAAATATATAAATATATATTTTTACTGTGTGGCCTTAAAGGTTGGCTTGTGCGTACAAAGCTTCTTTTAAACAATATTTCTGCAGTGTCTGTTGAATTCAGCAGACAGCTTTATGTTCAGGTTAGACGGGGGGAGGTTTCCCACAATCAACCCTAGCAGTGTTTGTCTTTGCTACTCAAGAGCTTTGAACACGCCTGTATTTTTTCCAAGAGGTACACGTGAGACGTAATGACGTATAATGTCTACATAAAGAGTCTGGGACCTTCCCGACTCACTCGATTGCTGACCATTTTGTCTGTTTTCTGACTGATTTCTTTTGCTGCAAAGAGAAAATAAAGTTACAAAGACAAAGATTGTTCTCTCATCTCTTTATTAAGCGTCTTCTCAGAAAATTTCCATATCAACACAAAGAACTGCATAAAAACAATTACAAAATTTAAACTTGAAACTAGATTTTGATTGCTGTTAAAATAAAATCACTATAAATACAACACAAAACACTTTTGAAGCCTAAACCAACTTTTTAAAAACACTTTTTTTACAACTGTGACACAGTAAATCAATAATCTTCGTACTACCTTAACAGTCTTCATTTCAAAAGACAGAATTAAAACCTCTGCCAGTCAAGCGGTGCGCAAGAACCTAAAGGGACAAGTGTGTCAGAAGAAAGTTTCCAGGCGGATCTTGAAGTTATTCTCCTGGTGTCTCACTGCGATGCCGTGTCGAAGCAGCAACTCTACGTATGGCGGCCAGAAAGTGTGATCTATCGTTACATACGGGTCGTGTGGCGTGTTTAGAACCTTGTTCATGAGAACCTGCAGGCATCGAAGAGATGGGAGATATTTTAGGGACTTTCTAGGACTGTGTTGGAGAGGAAACATCAAAACAACCTGTGTCAATCTGCTTCCACTTTGTATATTTAAAGAATAATCAACAAATAATGAAATAACTGGAACTAAATAGTTACACAACTCAATCGTGCAATGGACTTGATCACACTGAGGTGATGTGAGAAGAAATCTGCTTTTAATGGCTACTCTCTGGTTAATAAGAGACGTTGACTCAAAAATCAGCATCCAAGTTGAATTCTAAAGACTAAAAATAACTTAAAATCAAACATCTTAATAATTTTTATGCTGTATATTATTGCTCTAATAAAGTAATCATTGGTTGAACATCTACATATGATTGATTACATTTTGAGGTCAACCCAATTAAAGATGGCCACCACAACTTACTGGCATCAGCAAACACAAAAATAACTCTACTAAGGCCTTGTTAACACGTGAACGATCTCTAAAAACTGTTGCCCTGAGCTCGTTGAATCAGCTGTAGTTTTCATGCCAGGTCACTAGTGGGCGCTGTGATTTTTGTATTTTAACAACCTGCACATGCATGCAGGCACTTCATACTCGAGCGTGAAAACAGTTACGTCCAAAACGATGAAGACATGAACATTCGTTTGAAACAAGGATGAGGTCGATTTGCTCCTATATGTTGAAAAGAGTGATCAGGACAAACAGCACTCTGCTGTCCACCATTGTTGTTGTTGTCCATCTGCCTGAGCAAGCACAGAAGCTGTTGTGTTTGCAAACAGCCAAAACGTAGCAGAAATGCTACAGCTTCAGATAAAACCAGAGTCGAGTGAATGGGGTCTTACGGGCCCTGCATACTCTATCTGAAGCTTAAAAATCAGCTCTCATTGACGTAGCTGAGTGACAAAATCACATCATTTTCTTCTCTGAGAAGCTTCGCCCGCCCCTCCGGGCCAAAGCTTTTCTCACAGGAGTATGCAGCTTTGAGTCAGGAAAGTATGGCGCTCTCTTCATGACAGATTTGTAGCCAAACGGTGAATGCAGGGATGTAGAGATGATGGTGAAAAAGAAACCAGTGCTGTGATGCGTACAGCAGCGACAGGGTTTCCCAGGAACTCTACACTGTGTGTCTTGTGGACGATGAAAGGTGTGTGTGGAAACAAATGTCCTGAACCACGTGATCGTGAGTCGACTTTTCGGCTTCTAATGAATGAAACGATCTTAAGTCAAAATTCATCGAATGAGCTAAAGTGGGTGACGGTAGCTGACAATCATCCTCAAATCATACAATGAGAATTAGCAGATCTTGCAAAATTGCATTAGACTTAAATCTCATGGAAACATAAACAGAAGTTGAATTGGTTTAGCATGTTATACACACGTGCACAGTAATTTTAATTATAAACCAAACTAGTGGGAAAGCCAAATAACTAGTTTAGCATGCTTCTTTACACAAACGATGTAACAAAGTTATACAGATTTGCAAAAAATATAAAGTAAAATAAAGAGCTCCTTTTTTTTTAAAATAGCAAAACTGAAGCAATCCAGCAGCAAATATGCAGGTTTAATTATCATTAACAACGAGTCTGTTACTACTGAAGTAATTAATACAATACACAGGGTAATACAACCTGCTGATGTAAAAAATGTGCATGCAGTGTTATTAATAATATTAATTACATGTCAGACAGCGTGCTGTAAAATAAGTCATTATGATCTTGTTTCCGTTAAAATGATTAAAATATAAGGATGCGTCCTCGGTTGCACCACTGGGCACTGTCCCATGAGGTACAGTCATTACAGAGAGCCTCAGCACTAATTAATGGAAAAAAAGTGCTGTACATGTTTAAAATAAAACAGAACTAAATTGATGTTAAAATAACACTTTTGTCAAAACTAATAATAATAATAATAAACTATATATATATATATATATATATATATATATATATATATATATATATATATATATATATACACACACACATATAGTTTTTTGGGGGGTTACTTATTGATGTAAAAAAAGAGGTTTTGTGTGTGAAAGTACAAGAATCTATTACTGATTACAAGTAGAGAATATGTTAATTTTTGTTTTTAACTGAAAAATGCTAAAGGTACTATCTACAAAGAGAGATCCTGAAGGTTAAAATGGAAACTACTGACATTGCTTGGATCAGCAACGATGTAAAGTTGCCTCAAAGAACTGTAAGAATTCATATTTTGATGTCTGGTGAGACACTGGTTATAAACACGGTAACTCCACCCAGAGGTTCTAGAAACATGTCTGTGCTGGTTTATGTAAATATCACATTTGTCTAACAAAAGCAGTTCATGCTCACATACTGTATAAGGAAAAAGGCAAGTTTAGTGACATTTAACCACCTCTTCATTCATTATCTTTGCATTTTCTGGGTCACAGGGAGCTGTGCCTACCTCCGGCAGTCACTGTGCGAGAGGCGGGGTACACCTGGACAGGTCGGAGAGACAAACAACCACGTTCACTCACACCTCGGGACAATTTATAGTTACCGGTTAGCCCAGCATGCATGTTTTTTTGTCTGTGGGAAGAAACTGGAGTACCCGGAGAAAACCCACGCAAACATGGAGAGAACGTGCAAACTCCATCCAGAGAGGCTACAAGGGGCGACAGCTCTAACCACTGCACCACTGTTGAGATTTCTTTAAAAAGAGAGATCGAACGTTGGCTCAAAATAAAAATAAACACTGTTGAGTCAGAATTGAGCTAGTTGTGACTCAAAGAGGAACAACTCTCAGCTATCCCGACACTTTGTTTTAGATTAAAATCTGCATAATCGAATGAGTTGTAGCTGATTTTGTGTTTGCTATGGATGCTTAGCTGAGGCAGCCATCTCGCATTAGCTTTACTCCAATAGTTAATCAGTTGTAGATGCACATTGAACACCGGTAATTACTTCCTGATAGTTTGGATAAAATCTGTTGAGTAGTTCATGAGACCAAATGGACAAACGAAACACAATTGCCAATGTTTAGTTCTTTGGAGACAAAAAGCAGCTTTCAACGATGAAAGGATGGATAAAAAGAGCAAAACGTTACCGCCTGTTGGGATCAAAGGTTTTAAACTACTGTAGTCACAGCTATCCGACTCTGGAGATGATTCTGTTTTTTTGTGCAAACCCACCTCCAGGATTTCACTGAGAGAAATGAGGTCCTCGCTGATCTCGTATCCGATGTTCTGAAATTAAAACCGAACATGCGTAAGGAGAACCGAGGCACCAGAAACATCCACAGCGTGTCGTCCTGCTCGGCAGGTCACTGCACCTTCTTTTTCTTGCTTGAACTGGATTCATGTTGAAGGAGAGGAACGTGCACCTCCAGGACGTCACCCAGAGTCTCCATCAACTTCTCCTGATACGTCTTCATCTTCAGGATTTTTTCCTTGGTGTCCAGCAGGATGCTGGATGCAGTAAAAAGGGTTTAATTTTAATGACTGAACGTGATATAAACATATCAACAATCGTTCAATTTTACAAAACTGTATTACTTTTAAATTACGATGCGTTTGTAATTTGCAGCCATCTGCTATGAAAACACCCTAAAACCTGAACTTCTTTGGTTTAATGGTGTGAATACAGCTACTGTTTCTCTTCTTTAAATTTTCCGTACATTGTTTTGTACAGCTCATTCAGGAAATTACTGTTACATGTATGTCTTTTGTTTTTGTAACATTAAAATTTTGACTAAACTACATGAGGATCTCTTTAGTTCCTCTAAAACAATGTTCTCTTTGAATATTGCTTTAGCTTCCCCTTTTTGTTTTCTTATGCTCCTTTTAGCTTTTCATTTGCATTTTATAACTTATCGCTAGAATTTAATGAGAGTTCTGCAATGGAGTTAAATTCAAAGCAGCTGCTCCTCAGATAAATAGTGCTAACTTATTATTTTTTATAAATTAATGTTTCTGTTCAGTGTCCTGAGATGACTTCTGTTGTGACTTGGCGCTTTATAAATAAACTGAATTTACTGTTATTTTTAGCTTTTAGCTAAAACTTCGCTACTTTTAAATATTCTTTTGAAGCTTATTTTCCAGTCCTTCAGTATTTTTAGCCATTATTTTGCTACTTTGGCTTTTAGTTACCATAATTTCCAGATTATAAGATGTTATTTTTTCCACAAGCTTTGAACCCTGCAGTTAATTTATGGATTATTTTTTTTTTGATGGACTAACGAGCTTCATGCCGCCAAAACATTTAGCCTCGTCACATCTGAGCGCGCACATAGCTGCTCAATACATGTCTTTCTTGAGGGGTGGGGCCTCGTGACCTGATGAGGCTACCTGTATAAATAAAGATAAAAATAAAATAAAAAAATCAGCCCAAATAAATTATAGAACAGGTCACAGTAGACCAATGAAATTTTGAATTACTGTAAATCAAACACACTCACACTAAATTCTTCGCATTGGTTATTTTGCGCCGCATGAGCACACCCTCGTCATGAAAAACACACGAAGAAATGCAGACGTCGAAGAAGGAAATAGAGCTGCTGAAGTTAAGTTTGGCGCCAATGAATCGATGGAGAGACACTGGAGACGGCAGCATGAAGGTAACGATCAGTGACTTTTCCTAGTAGGTGACTGTATTTATTTATTTAGCCAGCGGCGTTACACTTATCAGGAAAAAAAACACATTTCCTGTATGTATTTGTGTATGTTACCAGTACATATTTAATTAAAAGTAATAAAAAATATATATTTCTATGTAAATATCTCATGCTACAAGATGAACTTATAGACAAGTGCGGCCTATATATGTACAAAATAGTTTTGATTTTTTAGTGGGCGCGGCTTATATTTGGGTGCAATCATTAGTCCGGAAATTACGGTACTCTATTTTTACTTTTAGCTAGCATTTTGCCACTTTTGGCATTTTGTAACTTGTAACTTTTAACTAGGCTTTTTTAACTTTTATGTTTAGCTAGCCACTTGTACCTTTCAACTTTGAGCTAGTATTTAATTTTTTATTACTTTTAACATCTAGCTAATTGTTTGAAGCTTTTAGCCAGTTATTTAGTATTTTAGCTTTTGGCTAATATTTTCCTGCCTTTAGCTTTTCAATATCATTTTGCTACTTTTGGCATTTAGTTAGCAATTTATTATTTTCAGATTATAGCTGGCATTTGTGCAATTTTTTTAGCTGTTCATTAGCATTTTGCTAATTTTGGAATTTAGGTAGGGTTTCATTCTTTTTACCTTTTAGCTGTTCTTTTACTACTTATTGATTTATCCAACTTTTAGCTAGCACTCTGCTTCCTTTAGCTTTAGCTTCTCCAGCAAATTTCAGTACCATCATTCAGCTCTCACCTCTGCCCTGATAACGTCTCCTTTTCCATTTTAAGTCGTTCTTTCTGATTTTCTGCAGCTTCAAGCACCTGTTTCTTCTCCTCCAACCACTTTTGTTCACTTTAAAACACCAGATCAAACAAAGTTAATCTGATTCGGTCCTAAATAAAACATTTCTGTGTTCTGAAGAAACAGAAAACATTCAAAAGGTTTCCACTGGAACAAAACAAGTTGCTCACAGCTCTTTGGTCTCTGTCAGTTTGTCTCTTTTCGCTTCGTAACAAGAAACAACCAGTTCAAGTTCGGAGCACAGCTTGAGCATCTGCAGAGAACAAAAAGAGGAAATGTTTTTAATTCAAGCTGCTTTTAATTTATAAAAATATATAAAAATTCCTCATTGTTTGGATTTTACAGATAAACATACTTCCTCTTTTCCAGCTTGAAGTAAAATTTCTGAATTTTTTGCCAGCACTAAGGGAGCAAACAAGAAATAAACACGAGTTTTAAAGATGTCACATTTAAAATTGCACATAGGAATAGAAATAATCACCAATTATGCGATTCTATAGCCAGAAACCAATAATTTCATGATTAAATAGTAATATGCGATGCAAAGTGTAGCACAGCAGCTTTGATTTGCAGCATTAATATTTCAGCAGCAAATATTTAAATTAAATTATATTATGGTCGCAGCGACTTACAGCTCGGCTCCGCTGACAGCCACAGCTTCATTTCAGCTTCTGTAGCAATCAGCCCATTTACTGACTGAAGACAAACAGTCACAATTACTGAACATACAACAATCTATAAACTAATATGTTTTTTAAATAAAGTGTAATATCAACGCAAAACTAATTTTGCCAAAAGACGCTTCAAAATACCCCCAATAAACAAAAAAAATATTAACAAATAAAAATAGTCATAATTTCCTCTTAGTGGTAGTTTATGGCAGCAATCTCGAATTGGGTTGACTTCTATAGTGAATTAATTGTAGAGGAAAACACCTCAATTACTTTCGGAAAGTTTCATTAAAATCTGCCCGGTGGTTTGTTGTAGAAAAGTCAGATTCACTGAAAAGTCTTCTGAGATGTCCTCCTTAGGTGGCAACAACATAACCATGCACTGAATATGTGTACATCCTGTATGCTCACAATGTGATGTTAGCGCTTCCAGTTCTGATGAGACTGGTGGCCTTATTATGTCTTACTGAAACACTTTGTTCGGATAAACTCTCTCTGACAATTTTAGCTTACTCAGATTCTGCTGCTTGGAACTGTCCCATCCCTGGGATTTTTTACTTGATATCCCTCTGTCAAAAAATACAAAAAAAAAAAAAAAAAAAAAGCTGGGTCTTCCTGTCTCTTTATCTTTTTGCCATACCATAGTTCAAAAGATCATTTTAAACATTAACTCTAATATTTAATAGCAAACGTTTAAGCCTTTGTCAAACAAGGTGTAGCCTTCAAAGTTGTGTGTTATGAATGACTCTCAGCTACTACCACTAAACGTTAGTGTAATATTTGTAAAACTGGCTGAGTTATAGCCATTTATGTATTGCCTAAGCTAAGGTAAACAGCTGTAGCAGCCATCTTGAACAGAGTTCACTCCAAAAGTTCATCAGTTGTAGGCATACATTCATTAAAATAAGTCCAGTGATTGAGGAGATATTTTGCTAACAGATAAACAAGGTCAACTCTAAAAGTTAAAGCTAATTTTTTTTAGCTAATAGGCATTGGGTAGTGCTTGGTGTATAAGCAGAGGATGACTCTCAGCTACTACCACACCAACTTTAGCATGCTGAGTTACATTATTTCTCACCTTTCAGCAGCATGCAATAATACTTGTGTGAAGATATTTTAGTATTTAGAATTTTATGTTACCTAAGTATTGTCATAAAGAATATGTACATATATATAATAAAGTTTATTTAGTTCTTATTCTAGCATTTCCTCGTCATATCACCCACCGCATTTCGGACAAGCGATCAAGACCGTGTGTCTTCTGATGCAAAATATAAACGAATGACATGAAACCTCACAGTATATAAAGTACATGAAACATTTAAAGACAACACGATTTGTTAGTAACAAAGCCAAAATGCAGAGACTGTTTATCTCACCTGTTCTTGAGAATTCTCAGTATAGTCAGACTCGCTAAGAATGATTTCATTCTGAAGCTGCAACAGAAACACACTATGTGGTTGGCAACCTTTTATATCCTGGTTGAAGTAGGACATCATATCCCGTGGCTGATGGAGGTGCGTGCGTGTTTACCTTCTCCAGGCGACCGAAGTGCTCCTCACAGAGCTCCAGCAGCTCAGCCTGAGCAGCCTCTGATAACTGAGCTGCTGCCTCTCCGTCTGCTCTCCCCTCCACCTGACCACGGAGGAAACACACACGTCGGCTTTTAAAAACTCTATCAACAGAACGGGACAAAGACGCAACGCCGTTTGCTTAACTCCCCGAACTTTCTTGAAAAAAGTTGAGCCGGTAAACGAAACAATCATTATGTTTAGCAGAGACATTGTTTGAAACGTGAAAACATCGGTGAATTTATTAGTACACACGTATAAGAACAACGTGGACCCGACGTAGGTCGAGTATTCTCACCATGTTTGATAAATCCACTGTTGTGATCGCCACGAACAACGAGACGGCGCTCTGTTTCAAAATACCGCCAACTTTAATGACGTCATGTCTGCGACAGAGGAAGTGTTGAAGGGCGGAGCTAAAGCTGCGCACAGCACAGCTGCGCAGCTTCTGCGAATAAACTTTGAATTTTGCTTTCAAACCCGTCTCCTTTTCTCATAAACACGCATCTTTTGAAGGAAGTGGTCCGAGGTGCTTTATTATTCGGCTTCTGAGAGTTTCATGTTCAATATTTAGTAGATGTTTTGGTCGTTCTAGTAATAACTGAGTGCAAAGAACAAAGTTTGACACAGCCCGCATGTTTGTATGTAGCATCACACAGAGCCCTATAAAGAAAATCTTTGATAGTATTACTACTGAAACGTTATACTAATTTTGGTTAATGCTTTAGGCTTTGTTCCCAACATAAATTACATCTTCTTTTAAATTATTAAATTATCTTATTTATATTTTATTATATTTATTCATTTATTTAAAAAAAAATGGGGGGGGGGGGGGGGGAGTGGTGGCACAGAGGCTAGAGAAGATGGGCCTGTGATTGGAAAGTCACAGGGTCAACTGGTACTGTCAACATCAAAATGTGGGTGAAAAGGTGAAGCACCCACACCTGCCTCCACCCTCATTTGCCCCACCCTGGGCCCCTGCAAGGCTCTCAACCCCCACCATCTGCTCCCAAAAACAGGTCTCTTGAAAATGAGTTTGTGACTCAATGAGACTGCATGTATAAATAAGGGTAAAAAAATTAGTCCAAAACATTCGTTACTTCTACTTTTGCATCTCTTTTGAATCTTGAAGGTGTTATTATATGCATAAGTTTGTGCCACATTTCAATAAATACAGCCACTCCAAACTTTAAACACCATTCTTTGGCTTGTTTGAACGGTCTTTGATTGAAACAGAAACACGTTGATCTATTCTTGAAATCATAAAAGTATCAGAAATACCTTCTTCCAACTGTCAAGGCTCAGGACGCTCTTCACAATCTACACAATTATGTATAGACATGTTCCTGTCTTTAGAATCTTACACCGTTTTATAATGTAGTATGTGTTTTACTTTTTTTTTTTTTAACATCACTTCTTTATTTACTTTTCATTTTTTATGCTTTTACATGAATGTTTATTGCTGTGTGTGGCATTTGTTCTTGTAAATGAGGCCTTGTGACTCAATGAGACTAACCTGCATAAATAAAGGTTGAATGAATGAAAAGAAATTGATTAACTTCCTCTAAAATTTGCATTGAACAGTGATAATAACAAATATTAATAAAATAATATAAACATATAAACACTCTGGTTCTTTTCTTTGGATTCAGCCTAAAAATCAACAGAGACTTTAACTCCATGTGGCACACAGGGTTGTTGTTCTCCTTCCAGTTTATCTTTAAATAGTGTGTAATTTTTTTATTGCATCTGAAATGTTCACTCCACCCCTCCACACACACACACTCTCACGCGCACTCGGGTTATTTTTAACTGCAGTTACTCATCTGTAAAGACCAGCAGGTGTCTCTGTTTGACTCTTTTACAGCTCACCAACCAAACTGATTCTTTCTTCCTTTTTTTAATGAAGTTTTTACAAACGAGTCTAAAATTATACAGATTTGACAGAATTTGTCTTTGCATCCATCTTCTCTGTATATATTTTTCGTTATATATATTATTTAGTCTAATGTTAGTAGATGTAGTCTGAAGTGATGGTTTTAAACCAGTTTATTCAAAATTTAAAGTCGTCATTTTCAAATCTTCTCATTGACTTTTAATTGTCCTTTAATTGTCAGTTTTCATTGTTTTAATTTTTCTTTGTTCGATGACAAAATCTGGTTTTATGACCTGATCAGATTTAAAATGTATTATTACTATTTCTGCAGGAGTTTAAATCCACTGTTAGGATTTAATCAAATTTATTGCCTCATGTTTTAAATTACCGTGATAATAATTTGAAGGTTGTTATAAAATTATCCAGCATTTATACCGTAACTGCTGCTTTATACTAAAACCAACATATTTGTGCTTTATAAATAGTTTATTTAAAAAATGGGCATATGTGAGTGTATAAACATTATGTTAAAGAAAAAAAATGCATTTTTTCAGGTATTTTAGTAAAAATTCCACCCATATGTGATTATTTTCTCATTTTATTTATACTTTTTAAAAATCTAAATGTTGGAAAATGTGAGCTGCACATTTTCTCACCCCTTGTTTTATTTACTTACACTCATCCCTCAAAATTTCCGTTTTAACACATTCAAACTGAAACATCTCTGAGACATTTCACTCTTTTTCACGCAAACTGGATGAATTTTACTCCAAATATTCGTCGTCTTGCTTAACTCGAGCACAGCAGCAGCTGGAGCTGTAAAAAGAGAATATATTAGAGGTTTTTTTTTTTCATTATTTTATGACTTTTCTGCTTCTAAATCACACAGATTATTTGAATGATCAACTAGAATTTGATTAATATGCAAATTTCTGAGCAAAAAAAAAAAAACCTCGTTCCATTTGAGCCCTCAGCGCAGCCTAATTAATCAACAGTTAAAGGAAATTAATACATACATCAATTCTGTCAGGAACATGCTTAGTTCAATCGCCCGTAAAATTGAAGTTTGAAGTATTAACTGGCTCCACAGGAAGGCTATGATTAAAACTCTACATTTTGGCTCCATTTAGATGGTTTAAACTGCAGGAAAAGCCAAAAACATCTTTTTTTTCCTGCATGTCTGACAATAAAAAACAACAACTAGCAAAAACAGGAAAACAGTAGCAAATAAACTTTGTTATTAATATTATTTTCTGTTTAAATCTATAGTTTCATCATATATCTAAATATTTGGAATTTCCTTTGACCTAATTGGTCAGATTGTTCTTCTCTTCCACCTGATGTTGTTTTCCACGAAGAGTAAATAGTAGAAGGGGGTGTAAAAGAGGAGGGAGGGCCGAGGCCTGTTCCATTGTTTCAGTAGGGACTCATGCATCAAACTTCAATTTTCCGGACGATTGAAGTAGTGATTTTTTTTCCTCCCCGCCTCTCCCCCCCCTCCTCTATCTTGAAGTGAAATACTGAAATACACTTAAGACCTCCAGATTAATTACCACGAAGTGGTCCCTCAGACTGTAGTATTACTTATCACCGCCCGCCTGACAAGCACTCATAAAATAAGCAAGTGAAATCCATAAACTTGGTCTGCCTTAACACTCTCCCTTCATAAACATGCTTGATGCAGCACACACACACACACACACACACACACACACACACACACACACACAGATACGCACACGTTCATATCAGCAGGTCAGTTGTCAAAATAATTGAATTTTGAAATTTGAATTTTCCTGTTTTGTTTTTTTTTTTTACTCTGGTGCTTCAAAAATTATAACATCCACACTTTATTTATTTATTTATTTGTCCTTTATTGTTTTTAACTTTGAAGCTTCAAATATTATAAAATTCCCACTCTATTTATTTCATTTTACTTACTTTATTTATTGTCTTTTTTTTTTTATTCTGGAGTTTCAAAAATTATAACATCCCACTTAATTAATTTAATTTATTTATTTATTGTCTTTTTTTATTTTTTTTTACTTTGGCGCTCCAAAAAATTATAACATCCCATCTTTACTTATTTAATTTTTATTTACTTTATTTATTGTCTTTTTTATTCTGGAGTTTCAAAAATGAGAACACCCCCACTTAATTTATTTAATTAATTTGTTTATTTATTGTCTTTTTTTTTAAATAACTCTGGCGCTCCAAAAATTATAACATCCCAACTTTATTTAATTATTTATCATCTTTTTTTTTTTTAACTATGTTGCTTCAAAAATTATAACATCCCAACTTTTTTTTTTTTTTACGAATAAGGAGCACATATGTAATAAAATAAATGAAAAAGGGCATTTAATGTAAATATTTTGCTAACAAATGTACAATTTTCCCAAGTTTTTTGTACAGTAATCCACCCAGTTATATGCAAACATTAAATTATTTTTAGCAGTAAATGTATTACTATTATCATTATTATTATTATTAATTTACAGCAAGTACATTAGCGGTTTGCGGTAATAAATGCAAACTTAAAATGCTGCAATAATAGTTCTTCTGCATGTTTTTATTGTTTGAAGTGATGAGGATTTGAGCCACATTAACTCTATTCTGTTCTGTTTGATTCTATTTCACCTCCTCAGTTACATTGAGTGTACTCAGGTCTATAATTTTATTTATCTGCTCTTGTTGGGATAAAGAGGATAAAAAATGATCAAACAGCTCCACTTCTCCCTCCTTCCAACAAAGAGGGTTAAACGAGTCGCTTTTCAGCTTCAGTCTCCTTTTTTCTTTTCTGTGGCCTCACATCTCCATGTTTTCAGCTTCATTAAACTCCTGAAAGACAAAAGAAATAAAGAGCTAAAAGAGAAGAAAACAAACAAAAGGACTCCCTAACCAGACTTTGGCAGAAGTGTCACAGCTCTTTAGGGGGGGGGGGGGGGGGGGGGGGGGGGGTGTCTCCAACAAAATCCATTTCTTGTTTAGAAAAACCTTCTTGGACAGAAGTCAAACATTTGATTCCAGAGCTAAAAAAGTGGATAAAGACACCAAAAAGGGGAGGGGGGTGATTTCATTGTAATTCATTGACTTGTTCAAAACTCCAGGCAGAAAAGGGGAGACATTAATGGCCGCAGATGCCCTCATGGAGTGGGGGGGGGGGGGGGGGGGGGGCGCATTATGGCCTTTGTTGGCGCCCAGTTAAAGTGTTTAAAAAGGAGGGTTAACTCAATCCATCAAACTGTCTGAAATTGTGAGGAAATCTCTAAAACCATATGGCCTCCAAACGTTCGCGTCCTTTTTGTGCGGTGGGGGCACACTTGTCTCAGTATTGCTGCCTGCGGGAGGGGGCGGCCCTGCTCTTTTGTGGCGCGTCCCATCAGGGGGACGCTGCTCATTTGTCCCCACTTTTCATGCTTTACGCGCAAAATTACGGCCCTGTCTCTCAGAAACACAGAAAAAAAAGGAGCCTGGGGAAACTGGCCCAAAACTTTCTGAGTTTTTTCTTTCTTTTTTCCCCTCTCCCTCCCCAGCTCCAGATTTGTGCTTCTCACATAAATTTTTAGCACGAATGGAGAAACACGTCTGAAGGTCAAGAAGTCACGACACGCTTTTAAGGACGTGAAAAGGAGCCACGAAATGTTTGTGGAAAAAGAAAAAGACACAAAGGAGAGGGAGAAAAGAGTGGAATAAGTGGAAACAGGCTGCTCCTGACGCACGGAAAATTAAAATAGAAAATCAATTAAAGAAAAAAGTTGAGAAAAGCACATTTTATTCCCATAGTAGCCTATTTACAATACAGTCTGTGCATTGGTTTTCAGATCATGTCCTGATTTTAGAAAGGCACTTACAGGTGTACAAAACATAACAAATTTATAGCAACTGGAAATCTATCGTATCCAAAGAAAGAATCTAAAAAGGATCAAAATCACCGCGTTTTTATCTGTTTTTCTTGTTTTCCCTTCTTTCTCTTTTCACGGCATTCCCATGAAACGCATGACGCGCCGTGACCAGGAGGAGGAGGAGGAGGAGGAGGAGGAAGAGGAGCCGGCAGTGACAAAGATTAGTCTAAGAGAAATAAAATGAAATTAACGTGTTTTTTTTTTTTTTAAAAAAAAGGAAAATAAATATAATGATTACAAATCAAATCATGCGCATGCAAACAAATGGGAGAAAACCGGCGCGTTATTATTCTGGTGCGTGTGGCTTTTTATAGGTAACACAGCAGGTGTGTGTGTGTGCGCGCGCGCCTTTAAAAGCCTCTGTTTGTTGTGTAAACAAAAAGGAAAGAATAAAACCATATTGCTTTCATCAGAAGGAGAAACAATTCGCTCGCGCGTAAATTGTTGGCGAACATCTCTGCAGATTTCTGCTTCATGCTTCAGGCCGATCTGTCCCGGAAGGAAAGTCTTTTTTTAAATTTTGGTACACGTTCTGGTTTACAATATAAGCAGTAAGTTTATACAGGAAGTCCTCTGGAGTTTGGCCCGCGCGCGCCATCAGTCATCCACGTCAATCTCCACGTCCTCGTCCTCCGAGCACTCTTTGCTCGTTGTGTGGTCTGAGAAGGGCGACAGCGGCGACGTTCGCAGTTTCTGCGCGAGCTCGTGCTCCTGCGGGCCTCCACCCAGCGCGGGGGACTCGGCGCGCGGGTGGCCCAGCGTGCCGTTGGCGCATTTCTCCAGGTCCGCCAGTTTGGCGAGCTTGTCCAGCGGGACCTGGCCGATGGCCTTGGCCGACTCCACGTCGGCTTTCATCTCCTCCAGGTCCCGTTTTAGCTTAGCCCGGCGGTTCTGGAACCACGTGATGACCTGCGCGTTCGTCAGGCCCAGCTGCTGCGCGATCTGGTCCCGGTCGGCCGGGGACAGGTACTTCTGGTACAGGAAGCGCTTCTCCAGCTCGTAGATCTGGTGGTTGGTGAAGGCCGTCCGGGACTTCCGGCGCTTCTTCGGGGTGGTCCTCTGGCCGAACAGGGTCATCCCGTCCCGGCCTGTGAGGAAGAGGAGAGGCGGCGTGAGAAGCAGCGACTCGTGCTGGTGCGCGTAAAACGTGTCCAAAACGCGCAAAACGCACAACAGATTTCTTTTTGAAACTGACACTCTCTGATGACATGAGCACAAACGGCAATTAAACTAAAAACAAAACGGTTTGTTCAATAATAAAAATGTTGATTTATCATCACTACAACCCTTGACAGTTTATCCAGTGCGCTTTAAGCTGCTGCGTAAAAATAAAATTAACCTCCAAAAATATCACGCAAAGCCCTAAAACGCAAAGTGTCATTTGGAGCCGGTTTACCTTCCGCAGCCTGCAGGACGCTGACTTCCAGCCCTTTGAAGGTCTTGCTGGCCAGCTCCTCCAGCGCGCACAGCGGCGACGTTTGGGTGAGCAGCGCGCGGCTGGACAGGGGCAGGCTGGCCGGCCGGTGCTTCTCCGAGGCCGAGATGATGTGCGCGGTGCCGCAGATCGTGTAGCTGCGCTTCACGGACGGCTTGTTGAGGATGTCGTCGATGCTGAAGGGCGTGAGCGGCTTGTTGGAGTTGGCGGGAGGCGGCAAGTGGTCCAGCGGGCTTCGCCTCCTGCTCTCCACCGCGTCACATTTGGCCACTTCTTTGGATGTCATCTCGGCTCGGAGGAAGAGTTTTTTGGGGGTCTGAGTTGGTTTGGGAGGGGGGGAAAAATACAACGGGTGGAAACGAGCGAGACTATAAGGAAGGAAAGGAGGGAGGGGGGTGGGGAGGAAGTCACATAACAGTTTGGAGAGAAACAGATCTTAATCCGGGATGGGGGCGCGCTCAGAGTGAGCAGCGGGTCCGCAGGAGTCAGAAGCCTCCCAGAAAATGGCGAGCTGCAAAGAGTTGACGATCACTAACAAGTTCTCATTGATTGGGAGCTAATCAATTATCTCCAGTGGCACTTTCACCCTCTTCCCCTTCACCCTTTGACTATGTTGCAGTCCAGTGCTGGGCTTTTTTTTTCTTTCCTTTTTGCGGCGGGGGGGGGGGGGGGGGGGTGTCCCATTAATTAGGACGCATGGTTGGAAGGAGGAGGAGCCCGGCGGAATTATGATGCTTTGTGCTTTTATCATCTTTGCTCTAATTTAGTCGTGTGGTGAGACACAGGGATGGGATAAATGAAGAGAAACAGAAGAGAGAGAGAGAGAGAGAGAGAGAGAGAGAGAGAGAGAGAGGGGGAAAAAAAGAGAGAGGAGGAGGAGGAGGAGAGAAAAGAGGGGAGAGAGAATCAGAATCAGGTTTTTACGCGTCAAACTTCAGCTTCAGCAGCAGTTTGGGCTTTTTGTATAAAAGTGTCTCCGGATGGTTCTGAAGTAAATATTAAAGCAGAGGCCGCAGCTTTTAGTCTGATTTTTTATTTTTATTATTTCTATTTCTATTATTATTATTTGAAGTCGAGCCAAAGCGCGGATGATCCTTTTGTTCGGTGAAGGTAACGCAGAGCTGGACCGTAGATCAGCTCTGATGATGCCTCCTCCGGGGGAAGGGAGGGGAGGGGAGGGAGCAGCACGCGCCCCTCTCAGGCACGCCGAGCCCGGGCCATAACTCAGGCGAAAGGGCTCCTTTTAGATCATCTGAGAAATATTCCAGTTCCTGCGCAGAACTCCGAGCATCCTGCAGGTTTGAGCTGAGGAGCTGTTCCCGACGCCGGATTCCAAAATCGGACACAGTTTGCGCTGCCCCCAAAAAATGTATTTATTTAATTTTATTTAAATTAATTTTTATCACGCTTTCAAAAAATGTTTTCTGTTTGGTTATTTCTTAGTTTTGTTTTCTTTTTGAATTCACTTTGAATTCATTGGAGGCCGACAGAAATTATTATTGTTATTATTATTATTATTATTATTATTATTATTATTATTATTAATGTTTATGGCTACAGTATAACATTAACTCAACTTTACCCAATTACTAATTAAGACATTAAATTAAACTTTAAAAAATAAATGGAGGTAAAATTGTTTATTTTAATAATACTGATCTTTTAAAAAATGGACCAGAATTTATTAATTTTATTTTAATATTTCGAAATTTGAGTAGTTCTTTGAGAAATAATTAGACAACATGGGTTTTATTGAAACTGTTATTTACCTGCTTGTTTTGTTGCTTTTTTAAAAATATAAATAACGGGAGGAAAATGAATTATTTTTATTTGAAATAGTTGAACCTGGGAGAAATTAAAGAGAGCAAAATTTAATTAACAAACAAACAAAAACAACAACAACTGGCTCTCAGAATATCTGGAGATGTAGTTTCTGGTTCCACAGGGAGAACAAAATATTCCAATTTATTTGCTGCTGCTGGGTCAGAACAATTTAACAGTTCTTTATGTTTTACATAAATGAACAATTATTGAACAAAAAATGATCTTTTATTCAGAAAATTAATTTGGAATCATTTTAAACATCAAGAAAATGTGTAAAAACTTTGACACAAAACAACATTTTGCAACTCAAAACACTAAATATTTTTTAAATAAGACTTTTTTTTTATTAAATAAATTGAGTTTTTGAGTGACTCAGAGATTACAAAAAAAAATATATATATACACACAGTAAAAAAAAAAAAAATATATATATATATAT